CGAGTGTACTACGCGCGCCTGGCGGCGCTGCTGGAGCTCACGCAAGAGGAAGTACCGCAGCTGGATGTGCTTCGCTTTGCCCTCATGTCGAGGCTCCTGACACAAGAGGATCATGGCCCTGTTGTTAGCGTACAGGACCGGGGCAGAGCTACGCCGCTCACCTAAGTCTGTGAGCAAGAAGGTCAGCCAGCTGAGCTCCTGTGCCGCCATGGCACCGGCGTAGATCTCGGCCTCACAGCTGGACTGGGCAACCGACGAGGAGCGGGTAGCTCTCCACGAGACGCCACCTGAACCAAGGCTGAAGCAGTAGCCCTGCGAGGACCTGAGGGTCTCGGCGTCGTATGCCCAAGAAGCGCTTGTGTGTCTAGTAAGGACCACTGGCCTGCGTCCTCCTAGCACTAACCCCATGCCCGATGTACTTGCAAGATAACGCAAAACCCTCTTAGTGGCAGACCGGTGCTGAGGTCGGTGTCTGCCTGTAGCCACAAAGCGAGCCATGATGCTGAGAGGGTATGCGAGATCTGGACAAGTGCAAGTCATGAGGTACATGAGGCAACCCACCAGCTCTGCGTAAGGACCACTGGGCTCTGCAAACTCCTCAGGAACTGGAGCGGACAGCCTGTGGTCTAGGGGCAGAGGAGTGGGTTGTGCGGAGGAGAACTGAAGGCCGAACCTCTGAAGGACCTGGCGCACCAAGTGTGACTGAGTAAAAGTGATGGTGCGCGCTGCTCTGTCCCTGGAGATCTGCAAGCCAAGGTAGTGGCGCAGTTCTCCAAGGTCAGTGCAGGTGTGTCTCTTCAGCAGCTCTGCCTTCAAGGAGGCCAGTGCGTCCCTGTCTGCTGTGGCGAAGACCAGGTCGTCTACGTAAACAAGGATGTAGATCGGGGTCTGGCCAGCACGAACAAAGAGTGAGGGGTCGGCAGAGGACGGAAAGAACTACAGGTCAGCAAGCGTAGCACGCAGCGTGTCGTGCCACTCACGGGGAGCCTGCCGCAGGCTGTAGACGGGGCGCCGCAGAGGCCACTGGGTCCCAGGAGAGAAGGTGCCAGTGAAGCCCTGAGGGCAGCGCAGGTAGACCTGCTCGTGTAGACTGCCCTGAAGAAACGCAGTGGAGAATTCGAGGGAGTGAAGCTCGTAGTCACGCTTTGCTGCTACGTGTAGTAGCACCCGAAGAGTAGTCATCTTCGGGGTCGGAGCGAAGGTCTGGAAGAAGTCCACCCCCTCACGCTGAGTGAAACCTCTAGCCACGTAGCGCGCCTTGAACACAGGCGGCTCTCTAGGAGGGCGCTTCGCCTTGAAGAGCCAGCGGCCATCGACTACGTTCACCCCAGGTGGGGGAACTACGTCGACGTAGGTGCCGGTGGATCTCCAAGATGCCATCTCCTGCTCCATGGCAGCTATCCACTAAGAGGCCCAGGATCCCGAGACTGCCCCAGCATAAGTGCAAGGGGTCGGGGTGTCAAAAGCGTCGGGGTCACCCTCAGGGACTAGAAGCATAGAGCAGAGATGGGGAGCAGCCTCGGACAGGAAAGCAAGCTCGTACTGGCGGTCCTCCAGGACGTCACTGCCGAGGGCAAGAGCACCCCCGACAGACGGAGGACAGGCAGGGTTAGAGACCAGAGCGGTGGCGTAGTCAAGGCGACGGGTAGAGGCGAAGTCAGCGACTGCAGCGACAAGGGAGTCAAGACTCGAAACTGGAACAGACGGGTCAATAACGAGGGAGGCAAGGACCCGAGGAACAAGAGGACGAGCGGCACGCAGGTAGTCAGACAGAGGGGGGGGAGCAACAACAAGGGAGGACGGAGGGGGCGACGGGAGAAGGGGAGGACGAGACGCATGGGAACAAAGCAAGATAGGGTGAGAGCGCGAGACAAGGGAGACAGGTCGAGCACGGGAGGGGCGGCGAGACCAGACATGAGATAGAGGAGTCGGGTTAGGAGACAGAGGAGGGGACACAGGAGGGGAACGAGGGGGGAAACGGGCCGGAGATGTTTTTCGGAGAAGGGAACACAGGGCCGTAGACAGGAGGAGGAGGAGGCACGGGCTTGGGGTTAGGGGACGGAAGGCCGAGCAGACAAAGAGCGGACACCGGCGGGGACTGCTGCAGCGGCGGTGTGACATCGACACAGGGATCGCAAGCGGCCTGGCGGCTACCTCCAGATCACTCAACGCCAGCACCCCTAGAAGGAACACCCCCAGAGCTCAGAACCCCTCGAGCACCGGTACCACCCCTAGGCCTGCCGGGACGAGCCACGACAGGAGTCCTAGGACTAGTACCCACCCCAACTCCAGCACCCCTAGAGGCAACGAACGGCTGCGGCGACGGCGGCTGCAACGACGGCGGCTGCGACAGCGGGGGCGACGGCGGCTGCGGAGGTGGTGGAGGAGGAGACACCGGAGAAGGGGCAGGCGGCGAGGACTGCGCCGCAGGATCACCAGAGTCAGCAGACTCCTCAACCGGGACAACCGACGTAAGGGGGGTGACGTGAGACACACTAGAGGGGGTAGGACGGGGAGGGGGAGGAGGAGGGGCGGCGACGATCGGGGAAGGGGGAACCAGGGATAGGGGGGGGGTAACCGGGGGACTGCGGTGGGGGAAGCGGCGGAAGAAGGAGACGGACTCGTCAAAGGTGACGTCACGGGAGGGAAAGAACCGGTGAGACTGCGGGTGGTAAAAGTGCAAGTCAGACTCGTCAAGGGGGAAGCCAAGGAAGACACAGGGAAGGGTGCGGGCAGTGAGCTTGTCCGTGCCAGAGGCACGAACGTGAGCAAGGCAGCCCCAGACGTGGAACGCAAACGCGTCACCAGGTGACCCAGACCAAAGAAGAGTCAGCGAAACCTGAGGCTGCTGGGAGTGCGGCCACAGGTTAAGCTAGTGAGCGGCGTAGCGAACGGCGAACGGCCACAGAAAATGGGGTGCACCAGCATGGATCATGAAGGTGCGAGCCACCTCCATGACCAAACCGATGCATCGCTCAGCGTCCCCATTCTGCTGCGGGGAGTCCGGCAAGGTGAACGTCTGGGTGATGCCCTCGGCACGACAGAAACGACCAAGGACACCAGAGGCAAAATCGCCATTACGATCAGAGTGGAGGCGCAAGACAGGGAGACCGCGGTGGAGACGCGCAACGACAAGCCACGGGATAAGAACGTCAGGCACGTTGGCCTTCCGCTCCAGGGGGAACACAGTGGTGTTTTGCGTGTAGTTGTCGACAAGCACTAGGAAGTAGAGCTCTCGACGCGACCCATGGACAGGGGCGGGGCCCCAGACGTCCATGTGCAGAGTCTGTAGTGTTAGAATATACCATGCTATGCTAGTTGTGTATATTGTGTTTACATCCCTAGTTGGGTGTACACCTGTGTTGGGGTGTCAATCCAACCCAATTGTGGTTGGTGCCCCCAAACACAAGGACCACAATTGTGGGGGCACCACAAGTGGGTTGGCTAAACCACTGGTGGTACACCTCACTTGGACCACCTCCAACTGGTGGTCAACCACATTTGGAAGGATCCTCCCTCCCTTGTGATTGGTCCTAACCCCCCTTTCCCTTCCAACCTTCCCTTCCTAGCTCATCTCTCTCTTCCTATGTAATGCCTTTGCTTCATCAATAAACTGAACCTTTCTGTTTCTAACATGGTATAGAGCAATAATGGCTCACGCCAACTTTTAAATCCCGATCCTTCCCCACGCTTCCGCCCCGTCCCCTTCCGACGTGCACCTCATTGCCGTCCCCTCCATCGCCGCTGCTAGACTCCTAGCCGCCGCCTCTCAACTAGTTTTCTGTTGGGTGGATTTTCAAAAACCCCCAATGCGCCAAACGCCATAGCTCGCTCGATAGTTGACAGAATTGAGTGATTTGACTTGCAAAAGAACGCTCTTGGTGTCAGCTACAACGTCGTAAAATTTCGAACTGTTTCATCGCTTGGATTGTCAGATATCGCTTTCCGAAGTTTGCACACTTTCCTGGATGTGATCACGAAGTGCTACTGAAATTTCTACCAAGTCCTATTTTCATCAGCTAACTGCCATCTTTCCCCATCTTTTGCCTCCTCACCTGCACCTGCTCATCGCCGCCTTACCACTGCTGCAGCCATAGCAGTAGCAGCAGAAGCAGCAGCAGCACCAGAAGGAGCAGCAGACTCAGCAGCAGCAGCACCAGCAGCAGTAGCAGCAGCAGCAGCAGCAGCTGAAGGAGCAGCAGCAGCAGCAGCAGCAGCAACAGCGGCAGCAGCAGCAGTGGCAGCAGCAGCAGCAGCAACAGCAGCAGCAGTGGCAGCAGAAGGAGCAGCAGCAGCAGCAGCAGCAGCAGTATCTACAGCCATCCCCATCCTCCCCTCCTCTTTGAGCCGCCGCGGGTCCACCCGCCGCCGCTCCCTCCCGGCCACCGCGGGTCCACCCGCCGTCGCCTTCCTCCCACTCCGTGTCACCAATGGCATCCTTTCCCCCTCCCGTCGACGTCTCGACCCTCGATCATCTCGTGCGCGCTGCCGACAACTCAGCAACCAACTGGTATTCCTTCGTCGGCAGCCTCCACCGCGTCCTCGGCAGTGCTTATGTCCTGCCGTTCCGCCTCCTGGACATCATGCTTGGTCTCCCAGAGGGTGACCTTGGGGACCCGCCGCCTCACCCTGGCGATCCCCCCCCTCTCATTCCCCATCCCGGCGAGGAACCTCCGCCCCCCATGGTACCCGTTGGCACCAGCACTCGCGCTGCCACCGCTGAAGTTGAGCAGCTCTTCCTTACTCAGCGTCGTGAGTTCCTCGTGCTCCATACTGATTACCTGATCGCGTTGGAGGAACACGAGCGGTCGGCAACCCTCCGCACCCAGCATGCCGCTACCGCCGCCGCTTATGCCGCTGACTCTGCGCGATTTGCTGAGCGTCGTCGCGCCTGGCTCGAGGCGGACAGCCGTGCTACTGGTGCCCTTCTCCTTGCCATCCCGTCTGCGCTCATGCGCAACTTCCAGGCACGTCGCATCGGCTCCTGCCAGATCTGGCTCGAGCTTGAGGCAATGTTCGAACGCACCGACTTCGATGCTGTCGGACCGCTCTTCAAGGAATACTTCAGCATCACGATCGAACACAGTGCTGGCGCCGTTGACTACACCAGCCGTCTCCTGTACCTTGCCTCCCGCCTTGAGGCTCGCCAGACTACTCTCCCCCCCAACCTTCAGATCTACCGTCTCCTCGAAGGCCTCTCCCCTCAATATGAAGTGCGCGTCATCGCCTTCACTGAGGCTCAGCCCCGCGCCTCCCTTGACACTGTGGTCCAATGGATCATTGACGCTGAGGCCCGCCTTCTCTCAACCCCCCCCTCCGGCCTGAACTCCACCGAGTCCCAAAACCCCCAGCTTGCAGTCACACAGCCGCGTCGTGGCGGGCGCCCACGTGGCGGCCGCACCAACCCTCAGGGAGGGGGTGGAGGTGGCGGTTGTGGGGGCAGCGGAGCCGGCGGCGGTGGTGGCGGGGTCGAGGGTGGCAGCAGTGGTGGTGGTGGAGGCAGTGGTGGCTCATCTGGTAGCCGTGGTGGCCGCCCTGGCACTCTCCCCCCATGTTCCTATCTTCGCCGTTTTGGTCCCAGGGCGGGTGAGCGCTGCACCCAAACCAACCATCCCCCCGCGACCTGCTTCAAGGCGTATGATGACGCCTGGTTCGAGCGCGGCAACACTGGCACACCCCCACGCTGGTCTGCCATGGATCCCCGCCCCTCTCTCCAGGATGTCAAAACTCTTCCGTCTTTTCTCCCCTCTCATCTTCAGCTCTCCTCCTCCTCCTCCTCCTCTGTCGCTGACCCCATAACTCCCCAGGAGCTGCAGCAGTTTCGCCGCTTCCAGCAGCTGCAGCTGCTGCAGCAGCAGCAGCAGTGGGGCTCTGGTGGTCAGGCTGCAGCCGCAGCTGCAGGAGCCGCAGCTGCAGCATCTGCATGGCAGCAGCAGCAGCTTGGCTTTGGCACCGCCGCCATGGCTGCCACAGCCACACCAGGTCCTCCTGGCTTTCCCCTCTGGGGCTCTCCTTCCCCTAGTGCTCCCGCCTCCCACTCCAGCTTTCTAGGCGAGCTCATGCGTTCTTCCCCTGCTTCCACTTCCATGTATCCCTCTGTTTTTAATGCCAGTGATTTCCAGTACCCCGTGTCTTCAGCTCCCTCCTCGCTCACGACTGACTTTGTTCTCGATAGTGGTGCCACTGAAACTGCCCTCAAAGACGCCGGCACCCTCACCTCCCTCCCTTTCCCCACCAACGTTCATGGTGCTGATTCCAGCTTCTCCATCCCTTGCACTCATCTCTCCACCCTCCCCTGCCCCCCCTTCCCCTCTGGAGTGGTCACTGGTCTCCACATTCCCTCCCTTCGTCATAACCTGCTCTCCATTCGTGAACTCCAACAGGCTGGCATCACTACCCTCTTCCCCGCCTCTGCCACCTACTGTGACCTCCTCCATGGCCCCACTCGCTGCCTCCTTCATCGCCTCCCACTTTGCCCTCGCTCTCGTCAGTACATCCTCCGCACACCCCGCCCCTCCTCATGCCACGTGACCACTCGTGCAGGCACCTCCACTCTCCCCCCTCCCCTCCCTCTAGAGCCACCTTCCTCCAACTCCACCTCCTCCCCATGCTCTTGTCGCGCACTGTCCCACCCCGCTGTTCTCATCCACCACCGCCTTGGTCATATGAACTTTCCCACACTTCGTAAAGCCGTCTCCTCCCGCTTGCTTGACGGTCTTCCCCCCACTCTTCCTCCCCTCCCGTCCTCTTCCGCTCCCCCATGCGCCACATGCATTCATGGAATGCTCAAACAACAGCCTCACCTCAGTCATCCTTCCTTTGCTGCTGCCCCCCTTGACCTCGTCCACATGGACCTCTGGGGCCCTAACCCTTCCCCTTCCCGCCAAGGGCACCGGTACATGCTTGTCCTAGTCGACGACCACAGCAGGTACTCCTCGGTGTTCCTCCTCCATACGAAGGCCGAGGCCCCTGCTGTCATCGTTACCTGGGCCGAGCAGTGTCGAGTCCACTTTGGTCGCCCCATCCGCCGCCTCCATTCCGACGGCGGTGGTGAGTTTCTCAACCGCACCCTCTCCTCCTACTGCTCAACCCATGGCATCCAGCAGACTCATACCCTTCCCCACTCCCCTCAGCAGAACGGTGTTGCTGAGAGTCGCATTCGTGAGATCACCAAGACGGCCCGCTGCCTCCTCACTCATGCCTCCACGCCCCCTTCTCTTTGGGGCTATGCCCTTGTCCATGCTGCTCTCCTTACTAATCTTTACCCACATCCTCAACGCCAGTCTGTCACTCCCACTGAGCTCTGGGCTAGCACCAAGCCAGATGCTGCCATTCTCCGTATCTGGGGTTGCAAGGCATATGTCCTCATCCCCCCACCTGACCGCTCTCGGCAGGCAGGAAAGCTCGCCTCCAAGGCCATTGAGTGTGTCTACCTTGGCCACGCTCGCTCTGCCCCTGGTTACCTCTTCCTTCACCCGTCCTCAGGCCGCCTCCTACAGAGCCGTGACGTGGTGTTCGATGAGAGCATCCCGTTCTATCATTCTGTTCCGCCTTCCGACCCCCTTCCTCCTCTCTCCCGCCCCCTCACCTGGGCTGATGCTGTCATTCCCCCACTCCTTCCCCAGGCTCCCCTCCTTCCTCCAAATCCTGCTCCTCCCCCTCCTCCTTCCTCAGGTGACATTTACGACCCAGCTGTCCCTGACTCCCCTGCTCACTCTGCCTCATCACAGCAGCAGCAGCAGCAGCAGCAGCAGCAGCAGCAGCAGCAGCAGCAGCAGCAGCAGCAGCAGCAGCAGCAGCAGCAGCAGCAGCAGCAGCAGCAGCAGCAGCAGCAGCAGCAGCAGCAGCAGCAGCAGCAGAAGGAGCAGCAGCAGCAGCAGCAGCAACAGCAGCAGCAGCAGGTGCAGCAGCAGCAGCGGATGGAGCAGCAGCAGCAGCAGCAGCAGCAGCAGCAGCAACAGCAGCAGCAGCAGCAGCAGCAGCAGCGGATGGAGCAGCAGCAGCAGCAGCAGCAGCAGGAAGTGCAGCAGCGGATGGAGCAGCAGCAGCAGCAGCAGCAGCAGCAACCGCAGGCAGTGCAGCAACAGCAGCCGCAGCAGGAGGTGCAGCAGCAGCACCAGCAGCAGCCACAGCAGCAGCAGCAGCAGCAGCATCAGCCACTGCAGCAACCTCATCGGCATCGCCGCACCACCTCTCCGTTCATCCTCCCACGCATCCACACTCGCTCTCACGGCCCACTCATAGGCCATCCATGGGGTTGGCCAACACCACCCCCACCCTCCCTTCCCTTCATTGAGGACTCCCATGAGGAGCTCATTGGCGTTCAGAAACAAACACCTTCCCTCACGCCTCTCTACCCGGGCTTCCTTGGCCTCCTCATCCTTGGCATCGCTACCGCTCCCACCAGATTCACTCCGTCCAACTTCCTTGAGGCCATCACCTGCCCCGATGCTGCCAAGTGGATCCAGGCTATCTTTGCTGAATGCGAGGCCTTCATCCGCAATGCCTCATTCGTTAACATTGTCCCCTCTCCTGACGACGTCATTGTTGAAGGCCTGTGGGTGTTCCGAGTGAAGCAGCTGCCGGGTGAGGAGCCGGTCTACAAGGCCCGGTATTGTGCCAAGGGCTTCACCCAAACCCATGGCATCGACTACTGGGAGACATTCTCTCCCACTGCCAAGCTCCCAACTCTCCGTGCCATCCTCGACTATGCTGTTCGCATTGGCATGGAGATTGCCTCCATGGATGTCTCCAACGCCTTCCTGCAAGGCGAGCTCCAGGAGCGGGTCCTCTTGCGGCGGCCTCCAGGCTTTCATGCAGCCTTCCCTGCCAACACTGTCTGGGAGATGCGCCGCCCGGTTTATGGCCTCAAGCAGGCTCCTCGCGAGTGGCACAACAAGCTGGCCGCCACTCTGCAGTCCTTGGGGTTCCATGCCTCTCAGTCTGATGCCAGCCTTTTCCTTCGCTCCTCTCCCACCCGCTTCTTCATCCTGGTGTATGTCGACGACATGATCCTGTTCGCCGACGATGCTGCCGCCATGCAGCAAGTGAAGGACGCCCTGCATGCGCGCCTCAAGTGCAAGGACCTGGGTGAGCTCAAGCACTATCTGGGCATGACCATCACCCGGGACCGCACATCGCGCACCATTACCCTCTCTCAGTCCTTCTACATCGACCAAGTCTTGCAGCGGTTCGACATGGCGCAGGCGAAGCCGGTTACCACTCCCCTGCAGACCGACCACCAGCTTGCCCCTCCTCCTGCTCCCTCCTCCTCTGACCATCCTTACGCTGAGCTCGTCGGCTCGCTGATGTACGCTATGATGTGCACCCGCCCCGACCTTGCCTACCCCATCGGTGTTCTTGCTCGATTCGTCAGTACCGGTCGCCACACTGATGAGCACTGGGCTGCAGCGAAGCGGGTCCTCCGCTACCTCCGTGGTACCAAGGACTATGTCCTCACCCTCGGAGGCTCTTCTCCTCCCCTCCTCTCTGGCTTCAGTGACTCCTCCTGGGCTGACTCCCAGCCGGATCGCCGTTCCTCTCAAGGCTACGGCTTCACCCTTGGCAGCGGCCTCATCAGCTGGCGCTCCACTCGCTCCTCCTCCATCGCCCTCTCATCCTGCGAGGCTGAGCTCTATGCTTGCACCATGGCCGCTCAGGAGGCTCGCTGGCTCACCTTCCTCCTTGCTGAGATCGGTGCTCCTCAGCGCTGTCCCACCCTCTGGTGCGACAACGCCAGCACCATCCATCTCACAAAGGACCCTGTCTTCCATGGCCGCTCCAAGCACATTGAACTCCGCTACTTCTTCGTTCGAGAGTTGGTCCAGCAAGGTCACTTGGTGGTCCGCAAGATCGCTGCAGAGGCCAACTTGGCCGACATCTTCACCAAGGCCCTCCCGAAGACCGCGCACTCTGCCCTCCTCCGCCTTCTCGGCCTTGGGCCCCGCCCCCCTTCCTGATTCTGGGGTTGTACCCTACATATACACTAGCTTTGCATGCTATGGGGTTGTGTTAGAATATACCATGCTATGCTAGTTGTGTATATTGTGTTTACATCCCTAGTTGGGTGTACACCTGTGTTGGGGTGTCAATCCAACCCAATTGTGGTTGGTGCCCCCAAACACAAGGACCACAATTGTGGGGGCACCACAAGTGGGTTGGCTAAACCACTGGTGGTACACCTCACTTGGACCACCTCCAACTGGTGGTCAACCACATTTGGAAGGATCCTCCCTCCCTTGTGATTGGTCCTAACCCCCCTTTCCCTTCCAACCTTCCCTTCCTAGCTCATCTCTCTCTTCCTATGTAATGCCTTTGCTTCATCAATAAACTGAACCTTTCTGTTTCTAACATGTAGCGGTGCTGCGGTAGGGGGAAACGAGGAGGAGTGAGGGGCACGGCGGAGCCGGCCCTCGACACAGGGCGTGCAAGGTGGGGCTGGGGAGGAGGGAAACTCAGGGAACGACCCGGGGAGGCGTAGGACGAGACCGGGCTGTGACATGTAACGCAGACGTGGGAGCGCAGGGTGACCTAGGCGGTGGTGCCAGAGAAGGGTCGGGTGGGTGAGAGACCGACAAGAGCAGGCAGCAGCAATCTGAGGAGACGCAGCCACCTGAGGGGGGTTCCCAGCCGGGGGGGTCACCGTGTCCAGTGTGAAAAGACCGGACACCGGGTCCCGTGGGAACGTGGACTGGGGGGCACCAGTGGCGGCCTCGGTACAGACAGCGTACCGCTCGTGTCTAGGGAACGTAGTGGTGATGCCAAGGTCCTGAAGGCAGCCGACACCAACTAGGTTCCTGGAGAACGAGGGGATGTGCAGACCTGTGAGCGAGCCCGAAGGAACCGCCGGGCAGGGGAGGGTGGTGGAACTGCGGGCAACTACAGGGCCGGAGGAGGGGTCAGCAAGAGAGACTACGGCAGGGACAGGGAGCGGTGTCAACGTGGTAGAGTCGCGGAAGAAGCACCAGGAAGCGCCAGAGTCGAGGGTGAAGGAGAGCGCGGCAGTGGCGGCCGGAGGCGGAGCAGCGACGGATGCACCAAGGCTAAACAAAGCAGGGGATCCTATGCTTGACGCAGCAGGGGAGTCTAAGCAAGGCACGCCTACACTAGGCAACAAGGGGTAATAAGACGGAAGCACACTAGAGTCATCAGCATACATCACATGCAGAGCACTAACAATCTCATCCATAGCCAGATAAAAAATCTGAACCCTACGACGAAGCAAGCTGTGCCAATTTAGGAGCTCGGGCGACAGGCCGAAGCGCTGGCGAAACAGGTCGTCCAGGCGACGGAAATAGCGGTCGGAGGTGTGGCCGATCTTACCGCAAACGAAGCCACGGCGAGGAGCGGTCTGGAGCAGGTACTGACAGCGCGCGGGACCCGAACCACCACCCGGCAGCCCACCACGCGCACCACCACCACGTCCAGCACTACCATTAGCGCCAGGCCACCCGGGGGGGAGAACACTCGCCCGTCTCGGCTGCTGCTGCCACTGCTGCGGCTGCTGCGGCTGACGCGGGTCCGGCGGCAACACCGGCGGCTACTGAGACGGCTGCTCGGCTGCACCTGTTAGGGTCCCCTCGTCCACACCACTACCAGGGGACCCAACTCCCGCACCACCTACACCTGCACCCCCACCCCCGCCGTCAAGCCCCGCCTTGGGGCGACGACCCTTCCCCGGACGGACCTGTGCTGCAGTAGCAGTCTCAGCCACAGCAGCAGAGCCGTCGGAGAAGGTGCACTGAGCGGGGGCGCAACCCTGAAAGATAGGGTCTGGCACAGTACCGCTGGTCTGGGCAATAGAGCGGTGGCGGGCCTCTATAACGGACAGGGTGTCAACAAAGTCAATGAGGGTGAGGTCTGCGGGGTGGACGCTAAGGAAGCGGTCGCGGGCAGTGGCAAGGCGGTCAGGAAGGCGGGTGGCCAGCAGGTAGAGAGCAGAGAAGAGGGGCGGCTGGTGAGCGCGAAGCTGTGTGTCAGTGCAGGCAGCGCGCCAGGTCTCGTCTATAGTGCACAGGCGGGCGGCCAGGTCAGCGATAGTGGGGAACGACGCAAGGTCAGGGAAGAGCATGGGGAGGATCAGGCGACCCACCGAGGCACCAGGCGGGGTGGAATAGCGCTGGACAACAGCATCTAGGAAAGCCTGGGCAATGGTGATAGTCCTGAAGCGAGGTCGCTCGGACAGGGGGAGGGCATTACTAATAGCAAGCTGTGCGACAGCGTCACGGGACAGCCATACAGAGCGAGCAAGGGCAGCGGCCGCAGCGGACTCACGCTCAGCGGACGAGGGGTCAGGAGATAGTGCAGCGGGGGGGTCAGGGCAGGGGAGGGTACCGTGAAGATGGACAGACAGAGAGTGGCCATCCTGCCGCTGACCAGTAAGGTGGCGACGAAGGTTAGCAAGCCACGCATCAAACTCAATCGGCTGGCCCTCAGCGTCAAAGCGAAGCACCTCCGCCATCAGTGACAATAGAGGGCAGTACAGTGCGGTGCAGTACGGCACGAACAGTGCAGTGCGGTGCAGGACGGTGCAGTGCGGTACAGTACGGTGCAGTGCAGTACAGTGCGGTGCAGTGCGGTGTAGTGCGGTTGAGTACGGTACCCGGGGGGGGGGGTTTGCAGGGCGGTGCTGAACGGGAAGAACGGGCCGAACCCGAGGCGGCGGCGGGCTGGCGACGACGCGAATGCAGGAGCCGGCCGGCGGACGGCAGACGCGAGGGGCCAGCAAACGGTGGCAATGGGGGCTGGCGAGAAGCTGGCGCGACGGTGAGTAGGGCCGGCCACGACGGCGAGGAGACACGGCCGCGACGGCGGCCAGGGACAGCCGCGACGGCGGCTAGGGGTGGCCGCGACGGCAGGAATGACCGTGAGGCGGCTGGAGACGGCAGCGACAGCGGCTAGGGGCGGCTGCGACGGGCAGGGGGCCGGCTGGAGACGGGCACGACGGCCAGGGGGCCGGCTAGGGGCGGACGCGACGGCCAGGGGGCCGGCTAGGGACGGGCGCGACGGCCAGGGGGCCGGCTAGGGACGGGCGCGACGGCCAAGGGGCCGGCTAGGGACGGACGCCACGGCCAGGGGGCCGTCTAGGGGCGGACGCGACAGCCAGGGGGCCGGCTAGGGGCGGACGGGACGGCCAGGGGGCCGGCTAGGGACAAGCGCGACGGCCAGGGGGCCTAGTAGGGACGAGCGCGACGGCCAGGGGGCCAGCTAGGGACGAGCGCGACGGCCAGGGGGCCGGCTAGGGACGGGCGCGACGGCCAGGGGGCCGGCTAGGGGCGGACGCGCCGGCCAGGGGGCCAGCTAGGGACGAGCGCGAGGGCCAGGGGGCCTAGTAGGGACGAGCGCGACAGCCAGGGGGCCAGCTAGGGATGAGCGCGACGGCCAGGGGGCCGGCTAGGGACGGGCGCGACGGCCAGGGGGCCGGCTAGGGGCGGACGCGACGGCCAGGGGGCCAGCTAGGGACGAACACGACGGCCAGGGGGCCTGGTAGGGACGAGTGCGACGGCCAGGAGGCCGGCTAGGGACGAGCGCGACGGCCAGGGGGGCGGCTAGGGCCTAGGGGGCGGAAGCGTGGGCGGGCTAGGGGGGGACCTAACCTACTATGATACCATAACAGAAAGAATGAATGACTAGAGTGGTGAGATACAAGGCAATATAGTCAAGAGTGTTGTACCCACTAAGGCACAAACATATGTAGTCTACAGTAACTGCATAAGCTATGTTTGACTGTAACTTGGTAGGTAAGTCCGACTTCGGGTGTCGAGATGAAATACTGCAGAGCACGAAGAAGATCTAGCCGATTCTCCCCCTCAGGTCGACGCAAAAATTGCGCGAGCTGACTAGCAACGTAGGCGAGATCGGGATGACACGCTACGGCTGCGAATAGAAGGCAACCAAGTTGCTGCTGATAAACCTGTAATTTCGCGTTGTCGAGAGGAGTAGTATCTGTTTGTTGATTAGTTGGAAGAGATCGGTAAGGAGTTGTTATTGTCGAGGCTGTAAGATTAAACTGTGCGGCTAGCGTAGCTGCATACTTGGAAGCTGTTAGATGAATAGCAGTTGCAGTTCGATGAATGTTTAGTCCGAGAAACTGTGTGACTGTAGAGGTGATAGTAATCTGTAAATTCTGTTGAAGTTTCTGTTCGAAGTTAGTAGCGAGAGAATCAGTAGTGCTGATATACAGTCCGTCGTCGACGTAGGCGACGAGCAATATGTAGTCAGTACCGGCAGTTAGCAGGTACATTTCCTGGTCATGGGGAATTTGACGAAATCCGGCAGTGAGTAGTTGTTGATGGACATACTGCTGCCAAAGTTGTGGAGCCTCTTTTATATCGTATAGTGACTTTCTGAGACGGCACACGCTTGGAGGGTTAGTTTCGTATGAATATGGATACTTGACCAGAATTAGTGCGTCGACAGGCGCATAGAGAAAAGCGTTCGCGACATCGATTTGACGAAGTCGGAAATTCCGGTAAGCCGCGACGCAGAGAAGTATTCTGACACTGGTGTGTCGCCCGACGAGAGCAAATG